TTCAAAATTGTTTCGCTAATAGTGAAAATAGTTGGCAAAAATTATTTACTTTCGCGTATTCTCATTTTCATTTTGATAAAACAATAAATAAATCAATTACGTCTCAACTAAAAGAGACATCTTTTCAAAATTTAGATTACTCAATTAATACTCATTTATCTCGACCACGTCCTAAATTTGATTTAAAAAAAGTAGTTGAGTCGAAAGTAATGGATGGCGACTTAAAAAATGCATCCCGTATTTTATTCTCAGACGACATCCTGGCTCCTCGTAATGTCGAAACTCTTGAAAGCCTTCGTCAAAAGCATCCTTCGGTCAAACCGTCTCAGGGTTTACCGCTGCCTCCCAAGACATCTATGCAACCTTTACAAATTTCGGAAAAAGACACTTTAGAAGCAATTATGTCATTTTCGAATGGCTCTGCTGGCGGCATTGACGGAATTACGCCTCAACATCTTAAAGATCTTGTAAGCGCTTCTGCCGGTGACGCCGGCGGAGTACTTCTTAAAGACATTACAAAATTATGTAACTTTATGCTTTCTGGTAATGTTAATCCAAATTTCATTCCATTCTTATATGGGGCAAGATTATGTGCCTTCAAAAAAAAGGATAACGGTATCCGTCCTATTGCCGTTGGTTCCACATTTCGACGCTTAACTTCAAAATTAGCTTGCAGGTACATAATCTCTAACCTTAAGACCAAATTTCAGCCTACTCAACTAGGCTTTGGCACTAGAGGTGGCTGTGAGGCGGCGGTACATTCAGTGCGTACATTTTTAACAAACTCTGATGCAGATGTTCTTGTGAAGGTTGACCTAAGGAATGCTTTTAACTCTATCGATAGGGTAACCTTGCTGAAAGAAGTGGCTAACAATACCCCCGAAATTTATCATTACGTTTGGCAATGTTATAGTCAAAATACTAACTTGTTTTACGAAAACCATGTTATCGATTCTGCTGTTGGTGTTCAGCAGGGTGACCCTCTGGGTCCAGCACTTTTCAGTTTGGGAATTCAACCCATTATTTCAAATTTGAAATCCAAGCTGAATGTCTGGTACCTAGACGACGGTACACTGGGAGGTAGAGCAGATGACGTCCTCAGCGATCTTACTCATATTTTTCGAAATTTTAAAAATATTGGCCTTGAACCAAATAGCAATAAATGTGAAATATTTTTTTCCAATAATTTATCTACTTCTCATAGAGACACTTTAATTCAAAATTTTAATCATATTTGTCCAGGAATAAAAACTGTCAATACGGAATCACTTTACCTGCTAGGTGCCCCGTTGTTTTTCGATAGTATTAAACCTGTTTTAAAAACAAAATTTGATCAGTTTTTAAACCACGTTGATAAATTGTATAAATTAAACCCCCACATAGCTCTTACTATTTTAAAATATTGTCTTCTTGTACCTAGATTTACATACTTACTCCGCTCGAGTCCAGTCTGGAAATGTTCGGATATTTTACAAGATATTGATAATAATCTTAAAATTGCTATAGAAAAAATTCTAAATTTAACTTTAAATACAACAGCCTGGACTCAAGCTACTTTACCTATAAAATTTGGTGGCATTGGTGTGAGAAATCTTTCTAGCGTTGCATTGCCTGCTTTCCTTGCTTCCGTGCATAGTGTCAGTGACTTATGTAACATAATTTTAAATAATAAAGTAGACCTATGCTTTGCTACGGAGGCAGGGCAAACATGGCTAACGCTCTGTCCTGGTAAAAATATTCCACTGGAAGTTAACCAACAAAAACAGTGGGATATTCCGTTGGTACAGGGCGTGCAGAAGGATTTGTTTCATAATTTCCATAGTGACCAAGATAAGGCACGCCTTCTAGCTGTTTCGACTAAGGAATCTAGTCACTGGTTACACGCTTTACCATCAAGTAATCTCGGCACATTACTTGATAGGGAAAGCTTGCGTATTGCCGTAGGAATCCGACTAGGAGCAGCGATTTGTCAACCCCATCAATGCCCCTGTGGTAACAGCGTCGACAAGTTTGGGCTCCACGGACTTTCATGTAAGAAAAGCGCTGGTAGGTTTTCACGACACAGTTCTTTGAACGATGTCATCCGAAGGGCTCTTGCCTCTATAAATGTTCCCTCGGTTTTAGAGCCTTGTGGAATATTTAGAGACGATGGCAAGAGACCCGACGGTATGACATTGGTCCCTTGGGAGAGAGGTAAAGCCCTAGTGTGGGACGCTACTTGCGTAGACACTCTGGCGGCCTCTCATCTCAGGGGTACCTCGTTTAAAGCTGGGGCGGCATCAGAGGCAGCTGAACTGAGTAAGTGGCGCAAATATGAGTCTCTGAGAGATGACTACATATTTGTGCCATTTGCTGTAGAGACTATCGGTCCGTGGGGTCCACGTGCGGTGAAGTTCCTAAAGGAACTCCATCCGCGGCTGGTCGTTGCTGCTGGTGATAAGAGGGCTGGTTCTTTCCTCGCTCAAAGGCTAAGTATAGCCATTCAGCGGGGAAACGCAGCCAGCGTTCTTGGCACGATACCGCGGGGAGTAGGACTATATGATAATTAAGTTTCTAGTTTTAGTTTTTCTTTTTTATTATCGTAGTTTTTAATATTGTAGATAAAATTAAGTATTATGTAAAATTGTAAATAAAAAATCCTAATGTGAGCGTTAATATTTACGGTTTGGATAAAAAAATAATGTGACTGGACTGCTGTATAAAACTTTAAAAAGAAAGATAATGCATGTTAACTTACTTTACTTAAATAATAATAATAATAATAATAATAATAATATAACTGATTGTTTTAACTGATCGGACAGTTGAGCATAATCGGCCGGATATAATATTAGTAGAAAAAGAGGAGAAGCGGACATGGTTGTTGGATATTGGTATTCCAAATTCGCACAATGTGCAGAAATACACCACTGAAAAGATGGTTAAATACCAGCGGCTGGCTGAAGAAATACGACAGTTAAGGCGGCAGCAGCAGGTCCATATTGTCCCGCTGATTCTCTCCACCACGGGAATTGTTCCTAAATCCCTTACTGAGAACTTAGCGAAGCTAGGTATCTCAGTGAGGGTGAGGAACAAAATACAAAAAGCCGTAATCTTGGATACGACAGCGATCGTACGTCGCCACCTCTCAATTTAAGGAATAAAGGGCGGGATCTTGCGATCAGCCGATGCCGCATCTAAAACCCCGAAAAGGAGCGCTAATGAAAGTGATAATAATAATATTTTTTTTTCTAGTTTCTTTCCCTTTCCCCCTAACCCTCGGCCGTTTGGTCTCCCCTGCCGAGGGCTTCCATCTGGTTGGGTTTTTTTATATATTTATGTATTTTTTATGTATTTATACTATTTTATTGATATTTATGTATGTTTATATAGTTCGTTTATAATTATATATTTAAACAGCCCAACCAGATGAGAAAACTTTATAGATAACCCCAATAATAATATTATTATTATTATTATTAGTAATAATTATTAATAGGCGTAGGGAAGTGACGACCCCACCGCCCGCTGACGTAACAGTTAAGTGACAAAACTGCTACGTCAGTGCAGTCAGTCAGCGCCTTGCCAAGAGGTGTGTGCGCCGTGCCTCGGCAGAATTGAGGGTGCAAAGGTCCGTCTGTGCTTATGGCCGCACCATGAAACGGTGCCGGGCCTGGGCGTCTTCCGTTAATTGACGCCCATATAATGGATGATGGAAAATAAAAGAGTGCGCAAAGGGCCGCTGCCTGGAGGTCGCCAGGGCGCGTCTGGAGCTGGCGCTGGACGCGACAGCATGCGGGTCGCCTGCCAAGCGCGGGGGGCTGCAAGACCACCTAGGAGCCGCCCGCATCCATCATCCCCACCAGAGGGCTTGGTGTCGGCTGGGTCTTCTCGGACTCAGCAAGTGGCACCCGCCGCTGGTGGAACACGTCGCATGCGTTGGACAAAAATCATGAACGCAAACGCATTGCGAGCGTATTTTAGGGCAAAAAGGGGAAGAAACTGGAATGTTGGCGTATCGGGCTCGGATGCATTGCTTTTTCGCGGAGCTGGAGCCATCTGTTCATGTATCAGAGCAAAACCTGGCAGCCCGAGTTCGGTACATCCTGCGCTCCAACATATTTGGTGACGCCGAACTCGAACGACTACGACGTGAGGCCCTTCCCTCATCGAATGAAAATGCTGCAGCTGGTAATGCGACGCCACAAATTGCAGAACAATCTGCACACGTCGATGCCGCCGCGGATTTTCCAGTTGTAGTTGATTCAGACGATGATGGAATGGTCACCCAAGAACTAGAGCAGATGAGGAGTAAATTGGAGGAGGCGATTGTGGAAACGCGCAGTACGCCTCTCGAAAATCGACCGCGACTACCGCGCATAACCCTAAGCAAGCGGAATCGGGCTGCCGTGAGGGCTCTTAACCCAATGCTGGTGACCTATTTGGAAGCCAGCCGGGACCTTTGCGAGACGGATTCAATTCTTTTTGGCGCCGCACTGGCAGTTTGCCGTATTATTGGCGCCAAACTTCCCACGGCTGGACGTGCTACTAGACAAAGTAGCGCCATCCCAGCCTGGAGAAGAAGGATTGAGGACCGTATCGCAAAGGCAAGGGTCCTCATCGGCAGACTGATAAGCTTCAGGTCGGGCAATAATAGGCCGAGAATTGTGCGCACCGTCAGGATGGCGTTTGCTGGGACAAATATCAGTTTGTCTCAGCCGGATATAACGCAAAAACTGACGGAGCGCATAGACGACCTGAAGCAGAGAATCGCTGCTTGGGGGAAGCGGATTCGGCGATATACCGAGAGGTCGACACGGTTCAACCAGAATCGTCTCTTTCAGAGTGATCAGAAGAGGCTCTATGAATCATTGGAGCGACCGATGGTACGTGGAACGGGCCCAGCACCGAAACAGGCCGACACTGTCGCATTTTGGCGCGGCCTGTGGTCAGAGCCCGTAAACCACAGCGAGGGCCCTTGGACGGAAGTTGTGGCGAGTCAGTGTGCGAATATTACGCCCATGGACCCCGTCATCATAACGCCGGATGACGTAGCTGAGGCGGTCCGTAGGGCCCCGAACTGGAAAAGTCCGGGACTCGACGGACTGCATCACTACTGGCTGAAGGGGTTCGTGGTGTGTCACGCTGTGCTCGCCCGACAGTTTCAAGAGGCTCTCGACCAAAAGTCGCTCCCGAGCCTCTTCACTACTGGGATCACTCATTTGGTTCCTAAAGACCGGGATTCCACAGACCCGAGCAAATACCGCCCCATAACGTGTCTACCTACCATATACAAGACACTAACATCCATTTTGAGCGCGAGAATCACTCGTCACCTGAACTCAAATCAGGTGATGTCGCGCGCTCAAAATGGATGTCGGGGCGGTGGTCGTGGAACCAAGGAACCACTCCTCATTGACGCGGTCATTGGCAAGGTGGTTAAACGCAACCGTCGGAACCTCTCCGCCGCCTGGATAGACTACAAAAAGGCATTCGACTCGGTGCCTCATAAATGGCTTAAGAGGGTCCTCGAGCTGTACAAGGTTGACTGTACGGTTCGAGACTTCCTCGGGCAGTGTATGGGGCAGTGGAGTACGATCCTTTGTCATCTAGGCCAGCGGATGACGGCTGCGGAGAACCACATAAGGATAAGAAGGGGTATCTTCCAGGGCGATTGTTTGAGTCCAATCTGGTTTTGCCTCTCTCTGAACCCTCTCAGTACCTTACTGGAGGGTTCCGGGAGGGGATTTCAGCTTCGGAAAGGAGGTACAAAAGTGACCCACCTTTTCTATATGGATGATCTCAAGTTATTCGCCTCCAGTCGCTCCCATCTTGTGGAATTGCTAAACATCACTTGTGATTTTAGCAATTCTATTGGAATGGAGCTGGGGACGGATAAGTGTGCGATCCTCCATGTCGAAAGGGGAAGGGTTGCTAACTCTGAGGGCATAGACTTATCTATGCCCATCAGCATAAGGACCCTTTGCGACGTGTCAGTCAGCGCGACCAGTCAGTTTGCGATGTGTTTTATGCACGCTTGACAAAAATGCTTAACAGTCTTTTGTCGGTCGTTAATAAGACACACGCTTATAACGGCTGGATCATGCCTGTTCTCATGTATACCTTTGGCATACTCAGGTGGACTCAGACCGAACTGAACGCTCTGGACAGAAAAGTCCGCACTATAATGGCGTCCCACAGAGTGCATCATCCGAGATCGTCGGTAATGAGGCTGTACTTGCCGCGGAAGCATGGTGGGCGCGGCTTTTTAAGCGCGCTTACCCTGCATAATCGCGAAGTGTGCAGCCTCCGTAATTATTTTCTGTCGAGAGCGGATGATCCATTCTATAGGGACGTTATTTTTTGTGATAAAGGACTTACCCCTCTATCCTTAGCCAACGAGCAATTGCAAGACCCGGCAGTACAGAGCATTTCCGACAGGGAGACCATATGGAAGGAGAAGGAGCTCCACGGGAGGTTCTACAAGGCTCTACATGAGCCTTTCGTAGATACAGTTGCCTCCCTCCACTGGCTACGTTTTGGTGACCTCTTCGGGGAAACCGAGGGTTTTGTCTGTGCAATACAGGATCAGGTTATTAAGACCAACAACTATCGGAGATACATCCTAAGGGATGGCACCGTCGACATTTATCGAGCTTGTCGCCATCCTGGTGAATCACTTAGGCATGTCATCTCCGGTTATTCGGCGCTTTCTAACTCTGAGTACTTGCATAGGCACAACCTAGTAGCCAGGATTCTACACCAGGAGCTCGCTCTGAAATACGGTCTCGTGGATCGGAAACTGCCTTATAATAAGTACATGCCGGAAGCCGTGCTCGAAAATGACCGCGCCAGGCTCTACTGGGACCGGGCCATCATCACAGACAGGACCATTCTTGCGAATAAGCCTGATATTGTGCTGATGGACCGGGCACAGTCAAGGATATTTTTGGTCGACATTACCATTCCGTATGACGAGAACCTCGTGAAAGCCGAAACAGATAAGCGAACAAAATATCTGGACCTGGCTCACGAGGTGACCGACATGTGGGGTGGATTGCCGGCCGAAATTATACCTGTAGTCGTTTCTGCGAACGGGTTAATCCCAGTCAGCCTCTCGGGTCATCTGAGGCGACTGGGACTCCGTGACGGACCGCTCCAAGCTCAAATGCAGAAGGCAGTGCTCCTCGATACCGCCCGCATCGTCCGCCGGTTTCTTTCCCTTTCCCCCTAACCCTCAGCCGTTTGGTCTCCCCTGCCGAGGGCTTCCATCTGGTTGGGTTTTTATTTATTTATGTATTTTTTATGCATATTTTATTTTGTTGATATTTATGTATGTTTATCATTTTCATTTACAATTATATATTTATACAGCCCAACCAGATGAGTAAACTATTTAATAATAATAATAATAATCTTTATTTCCATATTTTCCATATATATATATCAGTTAACAATATGTCTATTTATAAGCTACATAGGAATATTTCATCTTATAACATGAAAAATAGCATCCATTGCCGAACTAGGCCAAAACCTGTATTTCAGCATATGGCGCCACTCCCCAGACATAATAAACATAAATTATTTATTTAAATTATAGAAAATTTACAAAACTTTGTTCTTTATATTACAGATGTGGTATAAAACAAAAAGTAAAATTGAAATTAAAATATATATATATATACAGAATGGGGTCCCACATATATGCAATAAATTAAACCACAAGTAATACTAGTCCATAGAAGTGTAGAAAAATTAAATATTAAATTAAAACCCGTAAAATAAAAAAGTGAAATTTTCAAACAAAATAAATATTAAAATAAATTCAGTAAAAGTAAACACTCTGTTTAGACAACGTACCTTGACCCCTTGGAAGAGTGGCAACGTTGCACGCGGGTGGCATGGCGGTTGGCGGCAGGCAGCGTTATTGTTTGTCGGCACGGCCTATGGTTCGTTGGACAATGTGCGACGAAATAAAAACTTACTCACTAAACTGTTTAGGTATTTTACCGCCACTTTTTTATTTCGCGAAAATGGAACTGAACGAAATAAATATTATTGCATATTAGTAGCAAAATTTAATGAAACCCTATATTTTAAAATTTTCAAAATCGTTCTTGAATGCACAAGTTACATCGCCGCATAATGTTGTCCTGAAGCTTGCTCAAAAAATTTCGTTCAGGATCCAGAGCCAGGGCTTTTAATTTGTTAAAGGCGGCAACAATACGATTGCGCAGTTCATCTTCGGTTTCGAAAATCTTTGAGTACACTTCATTTTTAATAAAGCCACATAAAAAAAGTCTAGAGGAGTGAGGTCAAAAATAGTAAAGTAGTTTCAATATCACAGTAAAAAATTAACGTACTTAAAACACTATTTACACACACAAAGTCAATCAACTAATGTCTATTTCACCGTAAAATAATTGTTTGACTAATTGTATTTATCTTACGATAATACGATAATTATCTTACGATAAATAATTACGATGCGCGTAGGCAGCGAAACGCACCTGTATCCTGGAACAATTGCGCGTGAACTGGAAGCTAAACTTCCAAATTCCAAAATGGCGAAAATAATAAAAGTAATAAATAGGGCGGCCACAAGGTGCAATGATCGTTTATCGATACTTTTCTTTTTACGCTTATTTACTTACTACATTTGAATACAAGTAATTTTGATTTTTGATTTCATAACAATCGACAAGTTATTGATATTTAAAAAAAAAGTTTATTTTTGTACAATTGAACTTACGAAACTACCGATTTGTGACTTCCTGGGAAACGGTTAAGTATGTATGACTTTTTAATTGGTTGTTTTTATGGGTTTTTTATCATGTTAAAATAATTTATTATCTCTAAATCTACAAGAACACACTTAAACAAAAAAGCTTTAAAGCTTAGCTTTAATACTTAGGTCGTAGTATTTTTAGGATTATCATAACAACACGATAATTCTAAAAAAACCATACCCAAAGTGTTTAAAGCTAAACATTTTTTTTTGTTTATCGTTTATTACTTACTCCCTTTGAAAGAAGCTAATCGTCGATAACAGGTGTCCTACTCTATGACAAAGGCGCGCGCGCCGTTGCGCCGTCGCCTTTGAAGTACGCCGCGTGCCTCGTGCCGCTTGTTTATGCACGCCGACAAAAGACACCGCTGTCGATACGTCGCAATACCAATAGTTTGCACTGCGTGGCAACGTCGCTTTTTAATGTTCAAGGATTCAAGTTCATTGAATCATTGACTTAGTGACCCAATTCTATAGAGGGTTCAAATTTGCTTAAAATTAAAACTCTACTTTTTGACCTAATTACTGGGCCGATTATGTTCATTTTTTGTACATCGTCAGCAAAGGCGATAACAAGTATGTGGTTTCATTTATTGCATATATGTGGGACCCCATTCTGTATATATATATATATATATATATATATATATATATATATTTATATATGTAAAATGTACCTCTTTTGTATATGGTGCTAGTGTACGTGTGTGTGTGGATGTGTGTGAGTGTGAGTGGTGTGTGTGTGTGTGTGTGTGTGTGTGTGTGTGTGTGTGTGTGTGTGTGTGTGTGTGTGTGTGTGTGAGCGTGTGTAAGAGGGTGTGTACAAGGTGAAGAACACAGTGAAGAATACAGTTTAATGAATACCTTAAGTTACCTAACAATAGAGATTCGAGCACTGTCCATAATAACTTAGCTCTGCACTGTCAAGAGATCTTCCGTTTCATCATATCCTAGAGTCAGTAACCAAGATGTTATTTTCTTTCTGCATTGCTTTATATGTAGGGAGTAAACTGGAATAATTTTATTAACTTTGTTATACACAAAAGGACCTAAAGCACAGTAAAATCTCCGAACAAATGAAGTATGAAACTGTTTTAGTTCACAAGGTCTGACTATTCTGGAGTTTATACATTTTTGAGGATCAAAAATCACTTCACTGTGTTGTTTCAAGATTATACCTAAGATAAACAGTTGTCTGACGGTAAGGACTTCACAATTTTCAAAGAGAAGTTTGGTTGGGAATAAGAAAGGTCGAAAAGTGCTTACTACTAATTACTTCACTTAATAGTAGAAGCTGGCGCTCCTCCCCAAGAAGTAATGCAGTACGATATCAGTGATTGGCAGAGTGCAAAGTAAATTTGCTTTATGAGTTTATAATCTGCAGTATGTCTAAGTGTTTTAAATATTATTATTAATTTCCGCACTCTTTTGCTTAATAATTCAATATGCGTTTTAAAATTTAAGTGACAATCTAACATTACCCCTAAGTATTTTATTTCATTAGTACGCTCTAATTTAGGACAGGAACATTTATGTTTATCTACAAAATTGCAACTGTGAGCCACAAGATGAAATTTATCTCCAAGTCCTTTCAATTTCCGAATAGAAAAAGGAATGTATTTTGTTTTATTAGGATTTAGTGTCAAAAGATTTTCACCCAGCCATCTAGAGACACTGTCAAAAGCATCCTGCGCAGCATCAAAAACTTTCTGCCAGGAAATGGCTGAAATTAATAGAACTGTATCATCAGCATAGGAGATCAGATTACCATTTAAAGGTGTAAATGAAGTTAGTTCATTAATGTAAATCAGGAATAGAGTTGGTCCAAGAACGCTGCCCTGTGGAACTCCATAAGATATAGGTGCATATGTGCTAATATATTCTCCAACTGCTGTAGCTTGAGCACGATTTGTAAGGTAACTCTTAAAAAGATTCAACTGATTATCTCTTATGCCTATAGACTCAAGCTTATTTAGTAGAATGGGGATCGATACTGTATCAAACGCCTTTGCAATGTCTAGAAATATGGCTAAGCATTTATTATGTTTATCTAAATTCGTAGCAATAAAATTAGTCACTGCATGAACTGCATCTGAAGTAGACTTTGCCTGACGAAAACCAAATTGGTTATCAGAAAGTAACTTACGATTTTCCAAATAACTCACCAGTCTGATATTAATGAGTTTTTCCAAGATCTTAGATATAGCAGGAAGTAATGATATAGGCCTATAATTTGTGATAAGATCTTCA